TAACATGGAAAACTAAAATTTTAAATGGTTATCAAACAGACAATTAACTTTTTGTCTACGGTTTACCTTAATTGTCCGTTGGCTGGTTTATTTGTACTTATTTATCTAATATCTTGTATTTGAACTTATCTTTTATTTCATTTGTGCATTTCATCCCTTTGTGGTTTGTATCTTTAAACAATTACTGTTCCTTTTCATATATCGATACAAAAGTTCATTTCTTGTAAAAAAGATTTTAAAAAAAAAAGTCTCTGATGGCATCAATTTTTTTATGATAAATGAAGATTCTTTTTTTTTTTTTGAGGTAAAGAAATGAAGAATACTTTAATGCATCAATATTATTTTAATTTAATAATATTTAAAATAAAGAGTTCCTACCTTGCTTGAGATTTTATTTATAAAATTTCCAGTAGGTCTCATTGAGTCTTACCCATTATGTTCATTTTCAAGTTTTATAAATAAATCATACTATTCTATCATCATCAACGGGAGGCCTAGAGATAAAATTATAGCCTCTCGAGGGCTTAGACAAGGGACCCACTCTCACCCTTCCTATTCATCATGGTAGTTGATTGCCTTAGCCGCCTTTTGACACAAGCAGCAACCACAAATTTTATCAAAGGGGTTGAGTTGGGACAAGATTCATTGCCATACTCTTCTCCATTGACGACGATGAATCTATTCGGAATCCTTTCACCATTATAAAGGAGTTCGAAGAGGCATCGAGACTTAACATTAACCTGAACACATACCTTGGTCTTCCATTAAATGCTAATCCAAATGCAGCAGCTTTTTGGGCCCATGTTCTTGAGAAAATTGAGAGACGACTACAATCATGACACTCCTATATTTCTAAAGGTGGTAGACACGCTCTCATCCCAGCCACTTTATCAAACCTCCCCATTTACTACCTTTCTTTATTTGCCACGCCAAACAAGGTTGATTTAGCAATCGAGAAACTTTTCAAGAATTACTTTTGGAGGGGCAGCTCTGAGTCTTCCATCATCACACCTTGTCAAATGGGATAACTTCTCCTGCCCATGGAGCAAGGTGCTCTCGGTCTACATAGGATGCGAGACAAGAATAGACCTTTACTTGCAAAATCGATTTGGCGATATCAAGGGGAAAAACAGCTCTGTAGAGACGAGTTATTGAGGCCAAATATTCTTCCAAATCCTTTAATACCAAACCCAGATCCAAATCCATCAAACATGCACGTGGCCCATGGAAGAATATTTATAAGCATTGGCATATCATACATGATCGTACAACTTCACAAGTTAGAAATGGGGCTTCTACATCTTTTTGGTCTGATGCTTGGCTGCTCGGTTCCCCCTTGACGACAATCTTCCCTCAACTCCACTCTGTTTCTCTTAGAAAAACAGAATCTGTGAAGGACATATGGAACAAAGAACTTGGCTTTTGGGACTTGGGCTTTAAGAGACATCTCAAGGATGGTGAAATTGATGAATGGGTTATACCCTCCAACCAGCTTTCACCTGTCCGACTCACTTTGGGAGAAGACTCTTGGTTATGACCCCTAGACAGCAATGGATTATTCTCTATCAAATCCCTCCTAACTGACTTGGTCACAAAGGAATACCTCATCCCTTCCCCCCTTGCCAAAGCTATATGGGGTGAAATCTACCCCAAAAAAAGATTAAATTCTTCATATGGGAGCTTTCACACAAGGCCATCAACTCCCATGATAGATTACAGGGAAGCTTCCGTGTTTTGCCATTTATCCCCAATGGTTCATCCTTTGTAAAAGACATGGAGAATCACAGCCTCACCTCTTCCTCACGTGCTCCCTTGCAACATTGTTCTGGAATGAGATTTTACTAGCATCCGATTGGAAAGTGGCTTACCTATTGATATCACAAATTTACTCTTATATGTTCTTGTGGACCATCCTTTCAAGAAAGAGAAGGCGACCATCTAAAAACACATCCTTTGAGCTTTTTTCCTGGACATTTTAGAATGAAGAAAACCATAGACGCTTCATAGAAAAAGAGCTCCCTTTCACTCAACTCTTTGACATCATCATTTTTCTTGCTATGTCTTGGTGCAAAGCATCTCCACTTTTTTACTCTTATAGTATGGTTTCTCTTTTGACCAATTGGAGAAGTTTCATGTAACTCCTTTGGTTTTTGGGGTCACACTCCTTTTGTAATTTCACACATCAGTGAAATTGTTTCTTAAACCAAAAAAAAAGCTAAATCATACTCCATCCAGAAACATGAACTACCAAAACATTCCGATTCACATTATTCTGTAGGTCGTTAGAAGTTCAGACAATCATTCTAATTGAAGTATTTTATGAATCAGGCCGAAAAGTATTTGTTGCCTATCTAAAGCAGACAGTATAAGCATTATCCATGGAAGCATAGATGGCCATCAGAAACATCAATGACATTTAAGGTTCAATTCAATTTTGTTTTCATAAAAGGAACTAGAACTTTTGATGGATGATTGAAAAGTTGCCATAGTAAAAGAATCAGACATCAATTAAGGATTCTGAACAGAATCCTCAAAATTACATTAAAATGCCAAAAATAAAAACCCCCATTTACCAAATAAAATTAAAAATAAAAAAGAAGTATTTTCAATTCATTTCAATCGATTGCTATGGGATTTTTAATTTGTAGGGGACATTTCCTTCTCTCTCTTAATTGAGGGGATAAACTAGTATAATATTTACAGGATTGGCAACTGGCCTTTAGCTTGCAAAGGATATACTTATTCATTTAACACCATGCCAATAAACAAACAATAAATCCGATGACTATTGCCAATGCACCACAAAGTTCAACTCTGAGCAAGAACTAAGCAGAACAATACCTAGATAAATGAAACAACAATGAATACAGAAAGTCCAAGAATCAACATGTTGTGAAGCATCAATATTATACAAGAGGAGAACACTATACTTACTCCATCAAAAACACATGTCCGTCTTTCACAGAAAGATCAGATTTCTTTTTGAATGCCCCAGGAGATCTCACGGATTTACTATCACCACGTAAATGTTGTGTCCATGGCATTACAAATATTTTCGAACGAACAAGATGAAGTAAGGAATTTGGTTGCACATTTTGGGCAGCTAAAGATTTTTCTCGTTCAAGCTCTTTTCCAGAATAAAATACTTTCACTATTTCAGATGACTTCATATCTAACCAGGAGATCAAAAAAAACAATAAAAAAATTTAACCCCTTGACATAATTTAGTAGTAACGAAGAGAGAAAACAAGTCATCATACAGCATAGCATGTACATTACACAAATAGAAAGGATAAACTTGTGAAAAATACCCAAAAAAGAAAATTTGATAACCTAGCTTCTTTGAAGCTTTGGCCATGAGAGCCGAAACAGTCTCCTCAGAGTCCACAAAAAGTTTGCTGCCTTTGCCTCCTAAACTTTTCAGAATAATCTTCATTGGTCCTTGAGTAGGCAACTTCTGTAGCTCTCTGACAGCCATCTCGTTATCATGGGGATACCATGAAGCTTTAGGCCGATGAAAATTAGCTAGCTCTTTGCTGCAAAAAGGTAGACAAGAACACATCGGTGGAGTAGAGATTGCTTTTGATGAAATATAGCCATGATCAAAAAGATAAAACAAATTTCACATGTATATTGAAAGATATTCATCAAATTTTATTGTGGTTTTGTGAGACTTTCTGGTCCTTCCATTCTGAACATTCTTCCTTTTTATCATATGATTTCTTTTTATCTAAAAAGAATAACTAAATATCTGTTACTCATAAGCAATACTAAGCACATAAATAACAAAATATATCATATTGCACCAATCTTTGCAGGAAAAATAATGTATTGCAAGCTATAACTCAATCAAGCTCCATATAACGTCTTTCAAAAAAGTAATAATATAATCGAACAAGAGTTGCCTTATTAGAACTGATGTCTCAACGGGATGCCCTAAGACAGTACTTTTCCTCAAAAGCACCCTTTTTCCACATTCTATATTTTACATATTATATATATATATATGAAAAATCATGCTTTCACTGAGAAGAATGTATACTAAAAGACAACAAAATGGGTCAAACTAAAATAAAGGACTTCAGTCTAACAAGATCAATTTTAAGACGTAATTACAAAAATTTATAGACACTGAACTGAACCAAAAAGAGAAAAGTGAATGAATGAGCAAGGGTCCAAACCTACTCAAAAGTTCTCTCGATCCTTTAAAAATTGGTTGTTTCTACTTCACATACCCCGAAGAACAGCCAAAAAAACTGATGCACCACAAAAATCGCCCCTAAACCCAAAAGAGAGAGTGAAGGATAACCTCCTCCAACCTACACTCTCTAGAGAAAACAAAGCAAACCCCAAAAGCCTGAAACAAACAATCCCAAACCAAGAAAGCACCGTGGCAAGACAAAAGGAGATGATCGAGATTCTCTACTGATCCCCTACAATGAAAGAAAAAATTCAACACTGCATCCCACACAAAAAATCTGATATTCTTTGGTATCTTAACCTTCTACAGTGAAGAAAAAATGGAGCAATAAGAGGGGAAAGGATCTGCCATGAAGAAGGATTTACAAGAAAACCATTCAGAAGAATTAGGAGACCAAAGACAAGAAACCCTGCTACCCGGACAAACAACAAAGTCTCCCACCAAGGACAATAAGGCCACGAGATCCAACATCTCCCTATCAGCAAAAGACGAGATCCAATGGTGGTTTAGGAATTGATGGTTTAAAATCCAGGAATATAGCATTATTGGCCAACTGGAGCTAGAGGTTTATCTTTGAATCCAACTCCGGTAAGTAATTGTCAGCATCCATGGTATTGATTCTTTTGAATGGCATTCTTCTGGAAACAGAAATTCTAGCCCCCACAGCCCTTGGCACAACATTTCCAAATCATGGAAGAGTGTGGAGAATTATGCTTCCTTCAAAATTTGGAATGGTAAGAGAATATACTTTTAGCGTGTATCTATCTTCTTAATGTCTGTGTAGATCTTCTTAAGAGAATATACTTTTGGCGACTTCTTTTTAAAGTGTCACTGAATTTCGATGGCCCGGTTTTCAGATTTGTGGGACTTATCTTGTCTCTCATGGAAGATCATTTTAGAAGATTTTTGAAGGAAGATGAAATCAACTAGTTAGCTCTCTTTTATTTGAGTTAGAAGCTGTGAAAATTGATACTAACGATTACCAGAGAAGATGGAGTCTTGAGCTTTCAGGTGTCTTTTCGGTAAAATCCCTCTCAAGACAACTTGTTTCCTTTCCTCCATTGACAAAAATTGATGTAGTTAGATGCCGTTAAATAGCCTTTATCATTTAAATAGCTTACCTGTAAGATTTGTTTAAGTTGGATTTGCATTTACTGCACTGTAACTCTAGTCACTCTTCTACAATTAAAGTTGAAACCTCTCTAAATAGGTTTCAGCCTCGTTAATAAAGGGCTATTGAGTTATTATCAAAATTCAATTGTGCAAGGCTGCATCAATTGGTATCAGAGCACCTATTTGTGGCAGCCAAAACTTCCTTTTTAGGGTTTATTATTGATCATAATGAGGTTAAAATGGATCCTATAAAGATTAATGCCATTTCCGATTGTACAGAACCAAAAACAGTAAAGGATGTTCAATGTTTCCTTGGTCTTGCTTCCTTCAGTCGAAAGTTCATCAAGGACTGCAATTCTCTTGTTGCTCCTTTGACAAATTGCTTAAATAAGGGCCACTTTTCATGGGACCAAAGCCAGGCCGAGAGCTTTCATCTTATAAAAACTAAATTAAGCCATACCCCTGTCCTTGCATTACCTGACTTTAACCAACCTTTTGAGGTAGCAGTTGATGCTTCCGGTAAAGGGATAGGTGTAGTGCTGTCCCAAAACAATCACCCTATAGAGTACTCTAGTTAAAAACTCAACCCTTCTAGACAAAAATGGAGTACATATGAGCCAGAGCTATATTCCTTGGTTACAGATTTGAAACAAACAATGGGAACTCTATCCTTTGAGCAAGGAGTTTGTTTTATTCACTGACCATTTGCCACTCAAGTTTCTGCACACTCAAAAAACCACAAGTCGTGTGCATGCTCGTTGGTTATCTTTTCTCCAACAGTTCGATTTTGTTATTAAACATAAATCTGGAATTACTAACAAGGCTGCTGTTGCACTGAGTAGAAAAGAAAGTCTCTCAACACTTCTAAAAGGTAAAATCATTGCATTTAACCATCTCCCTAACATTTACAAGGGTGGCAGACTTTCATGACATATGGCACCAATGTAGTACACATACGGCTTACAATGATTTCCATGTGGTAAACGGATACTTATTCAAGGGAAATGCCTTATGCATCCCTCATACCTCTCTTTGGGAGGCTATCATACAAGATGTCCATGCGGGGGGATTGGCAAGACACCTAGGTAAGGACTCTTGAGTCTTGACACAATCACTACCTGATTCTTTTGGCCACAGCTCCAGAACAACATAACCATGTTTTCATTGGTTACTCATATGCTATATATTGTTGGTTTTATCTTTTCTGGATTTTCAAGTTGCAATGGGTCTAATATTCTCAGAATAATATTCTTCAGCTTATTATCGGTCTTCCCTTGGCTCCAAGACCAACTTTATTATGGACCAAATCATAAAGGCTATTACCTCATAACTATGGTTGGAACATAATCAGTTCCTTATAGTACTCAGAGGCATTAGTTGGATCGTTTTGAAGCAGCTAGGCTTAAAGCGTCGTAATGGTGTGCTCTTTCCAAGTGTGTTTCGGATTATTCTCTACAAAAGGTTGTGTTTGAATAGGGAGTTCTTTATTTATCCCCTCCTCATGATAACTTTATCATTGTTTTATTTTGCTTTCGGTCTTTTTGTTTTCCCCTTTTTGGGGCTTGTATATTTGAACTCTTGTTTCTTTCCATCTCTTCAATGAAAAAAATCATTTCTTGTTCAAAGAAAAATCTTCCCCTTTGGATAAGAAATATTTTTTCCACGAAGAAAGACGTTTTTGCACCTTTTCCATAATAAGAGCCCAGAACGACAAAGATCTATGATAGTGCCCTATGGGAAGACCCAGAAGACTCAGATACAAAGGGAAGGAACCTACCTCACATCCCACCAAAGTTGCCGACCTGACAAACTTAGAGGGATCAGAGTTAATTGCTAAGCCAAAACATTTGCTTCTATTAATCTTCAAACCAGAAATCAACTCAAATGAAGACAAAGGCAATTAAGATTAACAAAGGACTCTTCCTTGCCGAAGGAGAAACCACTCATGTCATAAAAAAACTAAAGATGAAACTAAGTCAGCCTATCTCTCTCCACCTAGAAACCTTGCAGAATGACACCTCAACCCCTCTCAGAAACACTAATCAGATGATTCAGATCAACTAAAACCACAAGCAGACTAACATGTTAATACCTATGGACGCATATGTGCATATCAATGCATACACATATACAAACATACATACACAAAAAACACCTCTTCGTATATATATGAAGAAAGGGAGGGAGAAGGAGCCCTCAACCCGCAACATCTTGAGGTGGATTTATTCAATCACATAGTTGGAAGCCGAGGAGCTCTCATAAGAATCCAACTAAAAAGAACCAAAGAGTAACAAATTAACAACATAAAGATTTCAACAATTCAACATTTAGATTTCATGGCATTCTTCAAAGTTTTTTTTAATACTTCGGCTCTTGTAATATTTGGAGATTTTTAGTACTTTGGCTCTTCTAAGGACTTATGTAATTATCCATTACGTATCATTATTTTAGGCTGGGTTTTTTTTGTATGGTAGCTATGGGACTCCACTACTCGTAGGCTATTTTGGGCTATTTTTTCTGCAGTCCCTTGGTTTGTTCTTTTGTTCTCTATCCTTCTTTTCACAATGAAAATTTGGTTTCTCATAAAAAAAAATACTTGGAGCTCTTTACTTTTAAATTTTAGTTGTTAGTTTTTATTTTCAATCCCTTTGGGAGCTTTTATTTATTGAACGTTTTTCTAGTTGTTTCTTGTTATTAAAAAAAGTTATAATAAAAAAAAAAAAAAGCTACAGTAGAGTGAACCCCATTGATCAGACAAGTTGTAATAGCGTCTGTCTTTCAAGGCCATGAATTCAAAATATGGTGACTACCTGCTTTAAGATATTAAATATCCTACATATTCTAATACCAAATGTTAGCAAGCTGAGATTAGTTTATAATAGTAGACGCAGACATTCATGGTATCTCTAGAAGAAATACTATTTCACTAGTCTTACTTGCTCAACTTTAGCTTCATTGTCTGCAACATCATCGCAGGTTTCGAATGGAAAACTTTGACACCATGAACAGAACGTTTTTTAGAATTTGATTTGAGTTGCTGAGATGCTTTTCTATTGGAATAGTGTTTGTCATTAGAAACAAATCTCCAGCCACCTTGACCTCCACTGCCAGATATCTCAAAAGAATTTCCATTGACTGACATTGATGACCGTGTTAAAATCATAGCTCCAGCATGAAACTGAATGTATTTAGATTCCTTTTCATCTGAGATTTCAAAAAGCATATGTTCATCTTCAAGATCAAAGATAAATTTTTGTTTTTCAATGGGTTCATCTGATTCCCATAATACTTTGTCTAACCAAGAACCTTCCAACATTCTTCTGTTCTTTGGGGAAAATTTACTAAAGCATCTTATAGCATTGCTTTGATGCTCCTCTGAAAAATTTTCCCTCGTACCCTCTGATTGGCAGGATCCGTCCACATCCTTCCAGGATTCTAGTCTCAACATTTGAGGATGATAAATCATTTCTGGTGAGAAAGGTTCTTCTGGCCCTGAAAATTTCCTTGAGCCAAAAGGCTCCAGTAATGGAAGGTCGTGCTGGGAAAGCCTCTGTCTCCTGTCATTTGGATCTATATGGTGCTCTGATCGAACTATCTGAATAGAAACTTGTTGTTCCACATCACTACTAACTGAATCTTCCAGATCAGATCCAGATACCTCACAACTACCAGCAGAGTTCTTACTTAAGACCGGAGAATTATCCCACAAAATCCCCTCTTCCCAATTTTGCTGATCAAGGGGGTAAAATTTTTTAAACAATAATGAATTTGATCCAATGGAAATATTTTCTGCAAAGACTTGTTTCATGGGTTCTGCACCACAACAATTGTCTTTTTGACGCCAGTCCACTCTTGCAGCCATTACATCAACCCCTTGCACTACACCAAATTTAGTAAATTCTGGGTCATCCAGATTAAACATAGTAGTATCATCTTTTACGACAGATGCTGGTTTCACACACGATACACCTTGACTGAAGCCATGTAAGAATGCCTCTTCATCCTCTTCAACAATATCAGATACATCCACAGACCTATATTTATCTGAAAAGATGGGGAAGAAATAACAAGAAATAAAAATTCATAAGCTGAAGCAAAATGCAAATAATAGATATCCAGAAAAACAGTTGATGGCCAGATTGCTAATAGTAAAACCCTGTTGTTTCACATGATGTAGCTCCAGATTTTGTACAAAACAATTACAGATTTATAACAGCTAACGTAAAAGAACCATGCTATTTGTAATTTGGAATGAGATCAAAAGGACTTGAAATAGGAAGCCGCATATAATAATTTCAGGACAAGTACCTCTACGAGTACAATATCTAGATTCTCTCTTCTCCTTTTTCTTCAAACTGTCGTGAACACCAAAAATTTCAGAAAACTGTAAGATCGCCATCCCATTTTCCATGCACAATACAGGTAAGGGAGTATGAGCTTTCTCGTCCAGTAGTTTTTTCTGTACTTCAGGTGTCTCCTGTTAACGACCACACAAGAGAACCATAACATGGTAACAGTAGCTTTAAACATGACAGTATCAATGCAAAGTCTGAAACAAGCCAGTAACTCTACGAGTAATTTTCCATAGGAACCACAATGGCTTTATAAATTATGTTGCATGAAGAACTAACCCACGAAGAACTTTGACCTTTAAATAAAGTGACCTAGTTGAACAATTTAGATTTCTTAGGTACACTTACCACACTTCTCTTTCACAATGTACATCAGGTTAAGATATGATAGTTCAAGGTGACACAAAAAATCAATAAACTAAGTTTCTAGTCACAAAAAGTTTCTTTTTTTTTTTTTATGAGAAACAATTTATCGATGAGATTAAATTACAAAAGGGGAGATTCCCATGAAAAAGGAGTTATAAAATAAGTATCCAATTGGATAAAAGATTAGAAAAGCAATAATGATGAAAAGGGGAGCATTTACACCAAGATACAACTAGTAAGAGTATGCTTCAAAATATATATATATATATATATATATCAAAAGATCGCTCCTTGTCTCTGAAAGTTTCGATATTCCTTTCTTGTCAAGTGTTCCAAAAGAAAGCTTTCACAAAATTCATCCAGAGAACGATAAAAGAAAAAAGATAACACGACAAAATCCAGTAACATTAGAAACGTCAAGAAATTAATACACGTTTAGCAAACATATATAAAATGCAAAAATCAAATATAAGATAAACATAAACAGACCTCGAGCAATTCTTCTGCACTACTGGTTATAACTTCATTATTGAGAGAAGCAGATTGTATATCATCATCTGCAACAGATTTTTCTCCTTCATAAGCCACCTCAAGGCACTCACCTTTCTCATCTGGAAGAGTCATGGTAAATAAGTCAAATATCAATACTTAATGTTGGCAGAGAAAATGAATAAAAGAAAGAAACTATAACATTCATAAGAAAACTAAATAAGTAATTTAAACTTGATTACTCTGTTTCTCTTACAACTTATAACCTGAAAAAACCACAAACATTTTTTTCCCTAAACATGAGTAAAGGGTTTGCTACAAGAATGTGATAATTAACTACATAAGTGTTGCTTTCGGGAGAAAATTTATTTTCACGTTATTATTTACTACTACAGATTGCACCTTGATAAATAAAAAAGGGAAAGGCAAGCAAAATAATCTAATTAAAAAGATATAATAAATCTAACTTTCCAAAAGGTTATTGACAAGAATGCCCTAATTTAACACACATTTTAAACACTCCTCAAGATGGGTTGTTTGTATATATCATAAACCAGACTTGTTATTTAGATCCTCAAAGTTAGGTCTTGGTAATCGCTTAGAGAGAATATCTGTCATCTGTTGCTTTGTAGCTACATAATTGAGTTGAACCACTTCATTAGGGACATTTTCTAAGATAAAGTGTCAATCAATTTCAACATATTTTATCCTATCATGATGAATTGGATTCTTTGCAATCCTTATTGCAACTTGATTGAAACAATCATACATCATTTGTATTGGTGATAAATATCCCTTTTCCATTTTTGTGGCAGGCTTGTTTTCTGACTATTTTATGGGGTATTTGGTTAGAGAGGAACAATAGACTGTTTAGGGGGTGGAGAGATCGGAGGATTATGTTTGGGAACTTATTAGATATAATACTTCCTTATGGGGTTCGATCACTAAGGTCATCAGTTAGGCCTCATTCTTTTGGATTGGAGTCCTTTTCTGTAGGGGGCGAGCTCTTTTTGGGCTGTCTTTTTGTATGCCTATGTTGTT